CAACTTGTCCGCAACTTTCAACTCGGGAACTACAAAAGCTAGGAAGCTGAAAATTTAGAGGAACATTCCCCACCCACGTATGACCCCGCAATTTAAATTCAGCATCCCCGTACCCGCGGGTAACGCGTACGGCCCTGTGAAAGTCTTTTACGGGTAAGTTAATATCTCGGAAACCAAGGAGTCTAGGAGGCTGAAATTTTAGGATAATGACCTTCTACCCACGTTCAACCTTGCCCATTCAAATTCAGCCTTCCCGCGCTCTTGAGTATTACCTACGGCCTCGTGAAAATTTTGGCGGATAAACTATTAACTCGGGATAAAGATATTCACCGTTCAAGGTTTCGGCTTCAGCTTTCATGCGCTGGTGCGTGAAATTTTTAACTGTTTTCCAATGTTTGAACTATTTTTGCGTAGACAAAAGTACAGAGCAGTGAAAATCATTAATAGGCAGTCGTTCGATGGGCTGAATTGCGCAAAACGCATGGTCGCACCGGCTAGTCTGGTGCGCGTTGCAATTTACTGAAATTGCAACAGCAACATTTATACTTCAGTAGTACAGGCTATCTTTCTGCATACAAAACGTAACATACCAGCAATTCTGCTGCATCTTTGTCCAGATTTAAAAGGCGGTCCACGATCAAGGTTCGCCAACGACCTTTTTGCTTCTTATTTAATTTCTTGCCTTTTTCTACAAGATTTTTTCTTACCTTCTTAAACCCCTTTTTTCCAGTAATTTCCTTTTGATTATAAGGTTAATACTTAACTTTTCTATTCTTACCCCTTCCTCGTCCTCCCCCTCCCCCCCCTCCCTCCCCGTTCTTGCCCCATCTTGATTTTTTAATCCCACATTCCCTTGCTTTCATTTCTGCCTTTCTTTTCCTCTTCGAGCACTCTGCAGCCGTCATACTGACGAGGTGCAGTCGCAGTGTTGAGTTAATAATAAAAATATTTCAATTTTGAAAGAAAAAGAAAGAAAAAAGCAAACAGTATTAAGGAATTGATAAAACGTCAAAGGTATTGTAAAATAAAATGGTAAGGAATGTTTCGCGCTATAGCGCTGCACAGCAAAAACGCATATTGTCGAGAGGCTACCTGTGTGTGTGTGTGTGTGTGTGTGTGTGTGTGTGTGTGTGTGTGCGTGTGCGTGTGTGCGTATGCGTGTGTGCGTGTGTGTTTGTGTGTATGTGTGTGTAATAGACGCACATATTTTTGCTTTGCATTAATGATGCTGCTATCAGATGCAGCAAACCACTAACTTTAGCCAATTTTTCGCGGTAATTTTGCGACAAGGGGTGTAGGTTAAAAAGGAAGAATAATTGAATTAAAAGGAGTTTTTGAGCAGTTTCTGAATCCCAAACACAGTAAAACAGCAAAATTTCGGACTCTTAATAGGTTGCAGTAGATGCTACGACAACTTTAAATTATTAGTTAACCCCTTAAAACAGTTCCATTAATTACAGTTGGGCAGTGATAAAACAACGGTGAGCGCCCTTAAGGAGTGTGCCGTAGCTACGGAAGAACTGCAAACGTTTTGCAATATTTTGGAGACTGATATTAAAGCGTTTGACGAAAGTACTGCCTCAATCAGCAACCAGGTCGAACAGCTCGAGGGACTTTTTCAAAAATTCGACCATCTCTTCCAATTTATTCGACAGGTAAAGTGCAGCCGCACTTTCTTCTAAGCCAAGTTAATTGGCGCAGTGGGTTGAGACGAACAGTATTATGGTTTCACACAACTAATTTAAATTTAATTTACACCAACTGCAATTACCTCAGTCGTCGTACTGACGAGGTCCAATTGTGGTAATGGTAAGAAATGTATACGACTTAATGGACCGAAACATTTCTTACCATTATAATAATTTCACTGATTTTAAAAAAATAATTTCGTAGCTGTCATTTCCCATGTTCCGTTGTATTGACGAAGTCCAGTTGTGGTAGTGGTAAAAAATGTATACGAATTAATGGACCGAAACATTTCTTACCATTATAATAATTTTATTATAACGATTTTATTGATTTTACTAATTTCATTAAAGAAAAATTCTCATTTCTCACCTTCCTCTTTGATTCTTCTTATTTCGCCCGTTGTTAATTCATCTTTCTATTCCAATGGAAAACGGAGATATTGCAAGCATATCGCTGTCTTTTTTCAACGAGAGGTATTTTTGCCTTACCAACAACTTTTAGGCACCTTCAGCTTTCAGATAGGACGAATAGGATGGGTCGTAGGTTCTTTTTTTTTAATTTTTGAAGGCCAAAATTACTCGTGATTGGCCGTAAACTCAATG